CTACTGTTATCTCATAGCTATCCATTATTCCAAGTTATGTGACCATGCATTAAGTAATTCTAAGAAAAGAACACTATGAAGGTTCCACAAAGTTACGAAAAAATCCACTACTGTCATCTCATGGCTATCCATTATTCTAAATTATGTCACCCTGCATTAAGTAATTCTAGGAAAAGAACACTATGAAGGTTCCACAAAGTTACGAAAAAATCCACTACTGTCATCTCATGGCTATCCATTATTCTAAATTATGTCACCCTGCATCAAGTAATTCTAGGAAAAGAACACTATGAAGGTTCCACAAAGTTACAAAACTAATCCTATGAACAAGTAACATATATGCTGTTATCGAAAGTAAGGTGTGGCATTGGTCTCTACGGTATGAAAACTTTCTAGATTATTTGTTAACTTTTGATATATACTTTCTTTTGTGTATTTTTTACATTTAAGACCCTATTCTGGCAACCTTAAGTATTTTCTACTAGGTCTTCAATGAGACAACCTAAAACTTGAAATATTCAGTTCACAGTAGATCTGGAACCTGAATTCTTAAACCAAGCTTCTGCAAGTCTACATACCCAACAACCTTGATATTTACTTGTCCTGGTTGACCTCATGAGCAAACATCCACCATTATTGCAGCCTATCCTTTTAAAATCTTCTCCAGAAAAACCTAAGCTCTAAAGTTGCACACAAACTTTCCATAAGATTATCACACACACACACACACACACACACACACAGCACGCACGCACGCATATACTCATAGAACAATTAGAAGTTATAAATTGAATTTCTTAAAACTGTTCAAATTTTTAAAGAAATTAAACTAGTCAGCTTTTTAATAACTGGGTTTCTGTTAAAACCCCAACACTATTTCAAGGATCCACATAAACCGCGCTCCCAATTTCGGACCACGTACTGCTTTCTAAGATGTCAACTATGGGGCATATGTCACATCATAAACTGTCCATCTGAAAACATTACTGTAAGCTACCCTTATAAGAATCTTTCAGATCTTTATAACCAGTTATAACCTTAAAGGATAGATATTTCTTTTATGGATCTGATGTTGTTGCATCTCACGTTCTCATCCAATAGTCAAATCAAATGACTATAATAGAGGACGAATGCATCGAAAAAAAACAACAATTAAATGCTCAGGAGTAAAAAAGGAAATACCAAGGAAACATACCATACTAAGAAGTACACAAACCACGCAAGAAATTGAAGTCAGACTGAGAAAGCAACTCCACATTATAAGGAGCAAAGCCGCAGAACCCAACCCGATACAGGATCGAAAGCCTCTTACAACGCAGTTCCACCAATAAATCAACAACAGGATCAACAGCCTCCCTGTCCAGGCGCACCCACTGCAAACCGTCGGCCAATGCCGCTCTACAAACATCCCGATTTTATCTCCACACCCACCCATCGCAGTTCGAAATCGGGAATACATATGTTTCTGTGACTGCAGCCATTTCCAAGCTTGTCTAAACAACCCTATATCCTCCATCACTACAAATATGAGCTTATGGGTTCAGCAGAGAAGCAGATTATCGCCCTATACAAACCCTGCTATCTATAACCATAGATTCGAAGCCGAAATTGGTAAGAACCCAAACCCCGAGATGCTAAATCATCAATGAAATCCATAGAACCGAGAGCAACCCAAATCCTGATCCGCAAAAATATCAAGCTGGAAAGGGGAAAAACCAGCTGAAATTCACGGGTTTGGAGCGCGATCTAGAATCCCCAACCACCCCAACAAAAACCAACAAGTAAATTCAATCACGTTCTTCTTTCAGTGAGTCAGTCAGCTCTCGCATTGCTTCACATGCAAGCTTCCAATAAAAAAAGCAACAAAAAAAACCAGGCATTCAAAAGCTAAAAAGCACGGATTGAAAATTCGCAAATATTCCGCTTTATTGAAATAATGTCTCACTAGCTTTTCAGACGCGAATATCTGTGTCTATGAAAACCAACAGCAAGTAGTCCCAGCTCACAGACCAAAAATAGAAGCTTTTGCTGCTGCTGCATCAGTTGCTTCCGGAACAAAGTGAAACGCAGAACTGTGGCTATGGCGGAAACCCACAGAGAGAGAGGGGGGTTGATTTAACCACCGACAGGGGAGAGGAGGGGGTTGGAGCCTTAAAGGCGTAGGCTTTAGGGGATTCGGAGGGAGAGGGGTAGAGAGGAGGGAGAGATAAACCCTAGCTTTTTGCAGGCATTGCTCGTGAAAAAGAGAGTTTGAGAAGGAGAAGAGATTCCAGTTACTTTGTGTTGTGTCACCTTTGTCACTTTGTGGCCTTATGTCTTGCCTCCTTTCTCATTCTCTCACACTTTGTGACCTTTTTTGTCTTTTTAATTTTATAAAAAATTAATATAAAATATTATCGTAACTTAATTATAAACATTCACGTCGAAAGAGAGAAAATGCAAGAGTCACGAAAGAAGATGATCCTCCTCCCTCTTTTTTATCATAGCCATGACCCAATGGAACCCACTTGACGCCACTGTTTTTTATTCCTCTAATGAAAATAAATAAAATATTATTCTTAATATCTATTTATATTATCTTTTTAAAGAAATAAGACACAAATACATTGATGGACCTTTTCTGTATTAGAGAGATAGTATAAGTGATTGTTCACATAAATGGTAAGTATAGCACTACTTAAAAATAAAATAAAAAGAAAGATAAATTTTTTCTATATGATCAATTTTTTCAAAATGGATGGTTCACACACTCATTTTTATTTCGCCGTACTCCTTATTAATTTCTGTCTTTTAATTTTTTTTCAATTTATTCAATTTGAGGATCAAAATTAAGAAGGTACGTAGAAAGCACAAAAATATATGCTTGGGTAGCATTACCCTTCATAATATCGTTAATATTTAATTTTATTTTGGTTATTTTTTATTGTTGTGTTGTGGATATGTGATCGATATTTACTTTAAAGGGTACTATGATTGAGGTCTAAATTTGAGCTTTTGTTAGATCCAGTCCAATTTTTCTATTTTCAACTTTAATTACCCTTCCGAATATTGTTAATATTTAATTTCTTTTTTGGTTATTTTTTGTTGTTTTCTTGTGGATATGTGATTGATATTTACTTTTAAGGGGTACTATGATTGAGGTCTCAAAATTTGAGCTTTTGTTAGATCTAGTCCAATTTTTCTATTTTCAACTTTAATTAAATTTTTTGATATATGCATCTATACACAAATTTTTTATTTGAATATTTAAATATGAAAATCTAACCACTTTCATGAAAAATAGTTAAAAGAAAATTTATGTCATCATATGTGATCATATACCATAGGTGAATAAAATACATTTAATCTGTGATAAAGTTATCCACGAAAATAAATAAAAATTAATCTACCTATCATTCATGAAAATAGTTCAAAGAAATTATCTTCTATACATTTTTAAATTCATACTAGTTATGTGTTGATATATATAATATCTACAACATAGATTAGTTAACACACTTAACTTGTGAGAGGTAGAAAAATTGAGATGGGAATTAGAAACAAGAAAAAAGATAAACAATTTTTAAATCTATACAAACCTATAAATAAAAGATAATATTTAAAACAATTTAATAACAAAATAATAAGAAAAAACTGATGTGGATAATTAGTGAACGGATCTAATCCAACAAAATGAACTAGATCAAATCATTCACAAAATTCGACTAGATCAGGTTTACTCTTACTTTTTTTATTTAATCAGTTTCAAAATTAATCAAATTGATTTCTTATCGTTTTATCCAATTGATTTCTTATCATGAGTTTAAAATTTGGTGGCAACTGAAATAATCAAAATATACAGTTGCTTTTGGCTAAATAATTGTACATCGTAATCTCTATATTCAGTGGGAAGTTAGGAACCAACCGAAAATTGTACCACATTCAATGGCTAACAAGTTGTAGGTGATGGATTATATTGATGGTTTGAGCATTTAGTAACATCATTCGTACTAAAAATTGACTAACAAGCGAAAATTGTGCATGTATTCAACAGAGAACAACCAAAATCACTGGGACTTTGTATTTGCTTTATGCCAAACCCAAGTTTCATAGCTAACACTACCTACCAATGTTTGAAGTCGTGGCCATCTCCAACATCGTTGTTGTTCGTCAGCGGAGATTCACGGTTTTGCGTGTTGAAATCTATTTAACAATAGAGGGTTTATACTTGATACTAAGAAAGATAAGGTTAGACATGTAATTTTGACAAAATTATCTTAGATGGTGTGCCTCGATAATAAGACTAGCATGAGGTTAAATAAGACCATAACATTGAGAGTCTCGTATTCTACAGATGATGGTCAGAATGTTCATACACAAGTTTTTTAACTTTTGATAACAGGAATGAATCTTTTTCGAATCCCTTTCTCCTAATTCATTAAATCAGAGAATTCGGCCTATTGAAATTTGATACAACTGCTACAACACAGAAGTCCACTTTAAACGTTATAATAACTTTAGCCTGTTTGATCAAACTTCAATAGTTCAAATCCTCTGATTTGATGGATTACGAGAAAAAAATCCCTTTCATTCGATAACTACCTTCTATTTTTGTCAAAATATTCAGTCTTCTTCCTTTTTATTATTGCAACCACTTCATGTTTCTTTGACAATCTGCATTCAATAATTATTATGTCGCACCAACCAACTGCTTATTCATTTAATTTTATTGTCAGCTTTACAATAACGTGATGTGAAGGGAATTTAATCGAATACTTAAAAGTTTAAAACATAAACAGAATGATTCTACTTTTGGTCAACATAAACAGATAAATCCAATGCAGTCCTGGAATTATTGTGATACTTTTAGACTGCGAACTAAGACCGCACACATTTGAATGTGATTTGATGAATGAAACGATAAGACAATTCGTCAAAGATAGATTATTTGCCTATAATCTATTACCGAGTCAAGATACGCCACGCAAAACTAAAATGATCAAAATTAAAAAAAAAAAAAAAAAAATTACAAAAATTCTTTGGATTACCAAGCCCTGATCACATTTACAAAGGAGTACCTCCGGCTAGAAGGGTGTAGCTGAAAAAGAAGAAACCACAGCAGGCCGCAAAAACCTACGTAGGACAAAAATAAATGAAATCAAAATTTGCGTGGATGTGTTATACGGTGCGGAAGCTGAAGTTCGTTGTATTAGCGGCTGAGGTTTCCGATGACACGTTCGAAATGAAGGTGGTAGTGGCAGCAGCTGAGGTTGCTAAGGAGAATGTTGAATTGTCCTTGTTGTCTGAGCCTAAGCCCGAGGACGCATTGTTGGAAGCTGTAGTAGTCTGTGCGCTAGGCCTCGTATCACTAGGCTCTCGTACTTTGAGGTCCATGAAATCGGTTATCAAGCCTGGCTTTGTTATCTTATCATCGTTGACAACCTTCTTGCCTTTTAGCATCTTGACCACGGATGACATGGATGGCCTGCGCTTCGCAAGGTCTTGGGTGCAGAGGAGGCCGATCTTTAGAAACCTACAAGCTTCCTCAGCATCAAAGTCACCGTCGAGTGATGTGTCTACCAGTCCAACAAGCTCCTTCCGTTCGTAGAGATGCCATGTCTGCAACAAAGAAGGCACTTGTCATTGGTAGTGGTAGGGTAATAGATAGGTTATCTCCACTGCATGACCCTTGGTACTACAAAGCCAACGTGGCTGTGACTGTATGAAACTCATAGACACAGATAGAACAAGCATCTCACAGACACACAGAACCTACAACAATCCTGCAAAACTTTCAGCAACACCATCAACAAAAAAACTCGAAGGGAAACACGAATGTAAGCTTCAGAAGCCTTATCAAACAAACAAAATTGCCCAGAAACATCACCAAAATCACATATGACACGTGCAATTTCCATTAATGTGTTTTACTTAAACAAGATTGAAAGAAAAAGCTTGTAAAGACTGAATATATCTGAAATTTATACCCTTTCAAGCAAATACTGTTCCTCAATAGGTAGTCGGGTATTCGTATTACTTCTGCCACTGACTATTTCCACAAGGAGAACTCCGAAGCTATAAATATCAGCTCTCCTTGTCAATTGCCCTCGTATTGCATACTCAGGTGCCAAATAACCTCTAAAACCATAAATATACATGTGATTACAAGGTAGAAAATATTTGGATTATAATAGAGCAATAAAGAGAAGCAGACATCCAAAGGAAGATTTAAATGGAGAAACTTAAAACACCTAATCCATTCGTAAGAGTAGTTTGTAGGGACATTGAAGCGAATGACTAAACCTACTCAAGTGCAGTACGTCATGTAAATATAGATATATTGAAGCCTATTTTTACTTATTCTGGTATCATCTGCTTCTTGTACCAACAAAAGGAAGACCATACCAGAAGGTTAAAAATCCAAAAACTACAATAAACAAGATGATATTCTGTTTAACACATTCGTATGGGACAAAAGGTCTATTGATTTCCTAACTGGCCAGTGTTTTATGTGATTCACAGTTGTTGACACAGTATATAATTCAGTATCATGATAATGTTTCCATTTTCCAACTATATGTTCCCGACATGAATCTTGGCTCCCCAGAAACAAATTCATAGTTCCGCTTTTAGAACAAAAGTTAGTTTTGAATTTTAGTTGCCCAATTCTAAAAGGAAAGCGAGGAATCATAGCTTACATTGTTCCTGCCACACGCGTGCTAACATGGGTCGTGTTAGGAGGGATGAGTTTTGCAAGACCAAAATCTGAAATTTTTGGCATTAAGTCTTTATCGAGGAGAATGTTGCTTGCTTTGATATCTCTATGAATAATATGTGGATGTACTTCCTCATGAAGGAAGGCAAGCCCACATGCAATCCCAATGCATATTTGACGCCTAGTTCGCCAACTAAACTGGAGATTACTGCTACTTCCACCTGGAATTAAACAGTTTAAGAACATAAGTTTCAAGAATAAAAAATTTAATCTTGGGAAAGGACTGATTGAGTACTGATGGAAAAACACCACTGGATCTAAGACAGCAGAAATTGCATTGTAAACACGATCGCAAGAACAGAGCTATGTAAGTTACCAATAAGATTTTGTGCAAGACTATTATTCTCTAGGTAGTTGTAGACCAGAATTCTATGGTTTCCTTCAACACAACAGCCATAGAGCTTAACTAGATTTTCATGCTCGATTTTTGAGATCACATTAATCTCAGTCAAAAATTCCTTCACCCCTTGTCTTGATTCAGCTGAAAGAACTTTTATAGCAGCAAATTTTCCATCTTTAAGCCGGCCCTGATTATTCACGATAGCAATTCAAATAGATGTCACTCACAATGTCGAGGAGAGAGAATTATTCAATTAAATACCAAATGCAATACCAGTATCCAAAACTTATATTAAAAACAGAAAACCTGAGTATACCTTATAGACAGAACCAAAACCACCTTCCCCGATTTTATTGACTGGACTAAAATCTTCAGTTGCGATTATCAACTCTTTGTAAGTGAATAGTTTAACATCATGAATGCCAGAAACTTCTGTTACAAACAAAAATTATTCAAGAAACTTAAGGGCAGGCCTAAGAAAAGTCCTTTGGGACATTTGATTTTGATGACCTTGTCAATGAACAATAATCTCGTACGAGTAATGTGACGTAAAAATATCAAGCTCCGCTTTAATCAGATTTTCAGCTTACCTTCATCGATATCAGAACTGGGTTTTCTTGATTTTTTCACCCTTGTGCCGCTTAAGAAAGAAAAACAACTCATGATTGTAAGAAACACCAATTACCACAAGGTCAACCGTGAACAAATGCCTAAAACAAAACCACTTGAAGACCTGCCAACATTGTAAGATACATGTTAACCAGAAGCACAATTGTATCGAAATGCAATCTCAAAGGATTTGAGAAGGAATGTTGGATGTAAACTTTCAAGAACATTTCTTATTGCTCCAAATCCAACTTAATCCAATAACTTTAAATATTGAACTAATAAATCCCACGACACGTGAAGATTCGTCCTTGTCTCGACCGAACGAGATAAAAGTATGGCTTCACATAGCACTATAACAGTACGAAATGCAAAAAACAAGATAAAAATGTTTCGATTTCGAAAAGCCACGAAGTTGACAGGAACGGAATGAAACAAGCAAATAATAAAAGAACCAAGAACGGATCGACATTGAAATCATTTTTTCTCTTGAGAAACAATCAAAACTATGACAAAGATATTCAGTCACAACTTAAGCAAAACCAAGAATTAACAAAACTTCAACAGCAAAACAAGCACCTCAAATAGTTAAAACAGACTGAACCCGGAAAGGAAAAATCAACATCTTCCAAAATAATTATTTCTAGGAAAAAAAAAATTGCAGATTGAAAAGAAGCAGAAGAGAAAATCACCTGAGGAGCTCAGAGAAGGAAGGAAAGAGAGGATCTTGCCTGCTCGTTAGTTGTTGCTGGTAAGAGAGAATTGTGGGGTTTGGAGAAGAGAAAATAGAAGAAGCCAAATATTTGGGTTTTTTTGTGGACAAGTATGAAAGGGCGTGTGTGAGGTACTAAGAAGTCTTCGCAGAGTCCATTCTGGTTTGCGTGCACCCCCTCTTCCCTTTGAATTTTCAAGGCATGCTACTACTGCTCCAGTTTTACTAGTAAAAAGAGTAGACGGAGAAGAAGGGTGGAAATAGTCAGAAAGTCAAGCTTCAAGCGTCATCAAACAGTCGTCACTTGATCACTACTGACACGTGTTTACCAAGTTTTTATTCTAATTGTATTTATTAAACGCGATATTATTATTTTAGAACTCTTCGTCTTTAAAGTACTTAAAACAATCATTTGAAAATACTTTCAAGCAAACTAAACCATAATAACAAGATCATCTGAATGAGACGATGAAACCCTAGCATAGGACACGATGTTCAGATCGTATCACGGCCAGCCAGCTACCTAAGATAAAAGCGATAGGTTTGTTTATATTTAAACTGTCAGGTAAGGGATTATCAGCCAGAGATGGATTGTCTAACCTTCTATTTCCATACTCTTCTTATGCTATTATGTTTATGTGGTTATCGTTAAGCCACGTTAACATTTTATATTCCTATTATTTTTTGTTTTATTATTTTTATAAAAAAATTAAAATAAAATATTAATGTAATTTAATTGTGACTACACAAATAAAAGAATAGAAAAAGAGTATGGAAATGGACTACTTATCCACCCAACAAACTAATCACGTTTTAGTGGACCTTATTAAATTTTGATCTTATTATCCTCGTCGTACTACTATTCCTGTCTACAAAGTCTGCATGATGATATAAAGTACGTGAGAGGCGTCCCAATCCCAGATATAAACTGTAAAATATATCTAGTGGGTTTAGATAAAGATTTTATATTCTATTTTCTTGAAAGCTTTATTGCTCACATTTCAGCGACGCAGTTTGATATTACGACTTTCAAGTTTGAATTTATGATATGAACAGGGCCATGGCGTGCCTCATTTCTTGGGGAAAAATGAATGATGAATGTCAAAACTTTTGGTTTATTTTCTAGTTAGTGTTGCAAATTTCCCTTTCTTTTTTTATAATGTTTGATATTTGACTGCAGTAAAAAGCCTTATTTTTTGTTGTGCCGTCACAACACCCGCTATTAGTCTCTATTTTTATTTTATTTTTTATTTTTATTTTTTCTAAAACTCAAATTTTGCCATTTAACTTTGAAACTTGATTTTTGCTTCACATCTCATGGATTCGTTAAATTCATTAAAATTTGTTTACTTATGTAGCATAAGTAGGCACACTTATTACTAACGTAGCACAAAAAGAAAACTCACACATCTAATCATATATTGCCACATAGATTGAAACAAAAACAAAAGAAAATTATTTTTAAACATTGTATAATGTATAGTTCCATGTCAGCAAATTTCATGGAATGTACACAATTCATACAAAGTTGAAAATCAGGCTCCAAAGGGTTAGGTGACAAACTTTGAGTGTGAGTCGAAAAAGTGAGAATTGAATCGTTAAGATCGAACTTGAATCGTTAATGTTCCAACAGTAACAAAGAAAGCTGAGTTAGTAGGGATCCAGCTACGAGTTACCAACTACCAGCCCTGTGGGTAGCCCAAATAAACGCTCGTCTAGAACCCCCACTTCGAAAGGTTCTCCAAAAAAATTTATATCCTGTAAATAACATATAAATACAAAAAAAAAGTAAGAGATATAATAATTCATTTGTTCGTGTAGTGGAAATGTTTATCTTTCTTTTTCTTTGGAGTGTTGAGTTCAAAACACAGAGATTAGTTTTCTTGTTTTTCAAATTTATTGCCAATCCATCTGTCTAAATGCATATAAAGTTATAAAACTTAAGTCCCAGTGCAATCTTTTTTTTATTTCAACTTCCCAATCTCCCCATATCTATCGAATTTTTAAATCAACTATTACATGGTCTTAAAGATTGTACTTTAAGGTATTCAAAACTTTGAATTTATATTTTTCTTTTCAATAATTTTTTATTCAATGGATTGTTTTAGTATTTGATTCGTTAGTGTGATGTTGATTCTACGAAAAAAGCACAAGAGAAACAATTAGTGTTGTTGAGTTTATTATACTCATCAATCAAGTTTTATTGTTCTTTACTCCCTTGATCATCAAGTTTTATTGTTCTTCACTCTCAATCTTAGACTCTTGACTATAAACATTTAGTACATTTGAATCTAAAAACTTAAGCCGTTTAATGTTTAAGTAATGTTTGTATATTTATGTTCTTTTTATATTAATTTTTAATGATATTAGATGTGGAAATAGAATATGTATTTAGCGAATTTTTGTTTATACATATCAATGTACAAAGAATTTAAAATCAGAGAATATTAGGGTCTCATTTCAAAAAGTCGCCTAGGCCCAAATTCTCAGACCGGCCCTGCTACCAACTACCAACGACCTTTGAGTTTGTGGCGGAAAATGAAGGAACGAACGGTGGGAAGTCAGGAAAGAGCAGAGCAGATTGAGCGGAAGAAACAACATATGATATGATTAGTGGGAAGTGGAAGTAAAAGCATCGAAATTCAAAACCCATTCTTCACATTCCCTTAATTTGTATTATTGTTTATTTAATCTCATGACTAAATCATATACTCTATATATCGCAGTTCCAAGAGCAGTGTGTGCATCAACTCTCGCCAGAAGCGGAGTGTCTCTAACTTTGTTCAAGTCCGCCAGAGTCCCCAGCGGCCGCATGTCCCAAAGAAGGTACCTTTTTCACTCTTGTTTTACAAATTTACAATATTCATTTTCTTATCAGAAGTTTTGATATAATTTGGGGATTAAATGTGCTATTGGTTATCAGAAATGGATTTTCTTTGTTATGCTCCGTTTAAGATTACATTTTGAATTCCTTCATTATTTGACCCTTTGTTGATTGGAAGAAATCCAAAAGACAAATTCTGAGGTTTTAATGCATGTGATTAGGGAAATAGTTAAAGAGTCTGTTTACTAGATGATTCAAGTTGTTTTCAAACTGATATGACTGCCTATTTGGAAATGCCATATCGATTGGGTTGTGGCTGTTGTACAACTATAAACTGATATGACTACTTAGTACATTTACCATTTCCTCATGAAAAAAAAGCCCTTTGATGTCAATATTATTTGGAAATTCAAATGACGAAGCTATTGATTTTGGGTGCGAGTTGTTACATATGAGTTTCTTTTTCCTTTTGATTACTGAAAATTTAGTTGTAGGGAAGTTGTTGAGGATGGGAAGGAACTGTTGTTTGACCATTGTGGTCCATTTTTCAATGCCAACAACACTGAGGTTTTGGATCTTGTTCATGAGTGGGAATCAAAGGGTCATGTTGCTTGCTGGAAAGAGAAATTTGGCTTCTTTGATCACATTTCCAACAAATTTGTTGACCCAGAACAGGTTTGCAAGTACTACGTAATCAGCAAACATGTTTTATAATGCAGGGAAACATATTTCATTTGTGAAATAGGTTGGCTCATGACTACCTATGCTTACATCATTTTTGTGGGCATGAATTCTATATGCAGAATATTGGTTCATGAGCATTACGCCAGGAGTCCGGTGTGTACTATTCTACTGATTTTCTGTTGGCACGATTTCTATTCAAGGTTGAATATCTGTTGGAACTTAATTGCGCTATAATTTCTTTAGAAGTGGAAAGTAGTTTGGAGCGAGTGTTGGGAGGTTGGAGTGGCTAGAGGATGAAAATTTGTGGTCATTGATAGGTTCAGATGGGCAAAATCTTGGCCAGTTTAAGGGAGTGGTTGCAACAGACAAAAATCTTGTTTCGCTCAGGTTTACTAGTGTTACAGGAAGACAACCACTTCTTGGTATTGAACACACTCCTTCAAGTCTTTCTATTCTAAGCATGTCTAGAAAATTTTCGCAATATTAAGTGGCAGTTCTTGGTAAGCTTGCCGGTGTTGGTGTTTATGTTATGCATGCTTTGTCCTATTGGTGGGTTTTTTTTGCATGGATGCTAAGCATCAGCTAGCAAATACTTATTTTACTACTATAGATATCACTTCCTTCTCCAGATCGATTGGATATTTGATGCCTACAATGTGTCAATGCATCGAATAAAGCCTTCTATTTTCTGACCGTTTACTTGGAACTTGACAGCTTAATCTAGGTTCTTACACCCGTAAGCATGCTCACTTTTCTTGTCTGGCACATGCATTGTTTTCTCAAGAATAGTGTAAAAGCATCGTGGATCTAACCATTTGAGATGCATGTAGACTTAAATTTAGTTCCATAGTTGTCTGTTAATTTAAATGATATTCCTGTCCGTCCATGCTTTGCTCTCATGACAGCATTTTCAGAGCCTCAGTCATCAGTAAGATATTTATTATGCCTTCTTAAAGTTATACAGTCATCTGTAAACTGTGCATTCATAAAATGCTACATGGTTCATCAACTTTTCCTTTCTCTCGGGTGCTGGGTTTGGCTCCATGTATTTCCGCAACCATTTGTATCACATTCTTAATTTGTGTACTCTTTTCTTCTATTTGATGTTGATCTGGGCTGACCCTGGTGCCTAATTTCTGAATCAGATACCCTTTAAAGGTTTCTAAATAAGAAGTTCTGAAGTTTTAAGCTGGGCTCATTGTGAAAGCAGCAAGCATGACCGTTCTACCTCTAGGTATTCATGGAATCTTAGTTTCGCTCTGAACTGTAGTCTAAAATTAGTCTTTGCATCAGTTTTTCCATAAATCTCTTAGAGCATGTTTGGTATCTTATTTGAAAATTTTTATCATTTCTCATAACATTTCTTAAGAACATTTATTGAAAACAATTTTCTTTAGAACTCAAAAATTTGTTTGGTTTGCGATTTAAAATTTTTAAATCTTACGACTTAAAGTAGACAAATAGATCTAAAAAGAGGGGGTCATAGGAGAGGGCGAAAGAGGAGAGAGGAGGAAAGAAAGTAAAAGATGATTGAAGGAAAGAAAAAGAAGAAAGGATGGGATGAGATAGAGAGGAAAATGAGTGAGGGAAGAACCGAGAGATTGAAGAGAGTGGATTGGAGGAGAGTCGAAAAAAGTAAAAAAAAAAAAAAAAAAAAAGAGGGGTGAGAAAGAATGAAAGAGAGAGATAGATTTGGAGTGAGTGGGGAGAAGAGAGAAAATAAATG